ACATATTCATACATACATATCAAATGGTCTGTGTAGCAGGGGAATCACCTTCCATGACTCACTAAAATTATTGAAATCATGCCGAACCAAAAATATTAGACAAAAGTGAACAATCGAACCAAATATTGGTTGAATACACAGAATCGCACTTCATGTGCCTGAGCAAATGTACTTTTTTCAGCTAGTGTTTATGTTTGGACTGAATAAAAGATAAGCAATATAGGGTGATTAGAATTCGGCACAAGGAATTGGAGATTGATTTTTTTTTGTTTGAAATAGTGCCCAAGAAATACAAATATCAAAAAATAACTTCAACTGGATCATTTAAAAATAAAAACATAATAGAGAAAAAAACATTTTAAAAAATTATATTACATTAAAACTTGTAATTTCAATTGCTATATATTTTATCGTATAATATACAACTTTTTTTTTATAAAAAAATATTTATTATATACATATACATATATATAAAAAATATTTTATTTCTTTATAGTGGAAAACCGTTTTATAATTATTAAATTAAATAATCATAGTTCTTGATAATTATCATTTATCAATTAAGACACCCTGTATACCTCACAGAACTCAATTACAGAAAAATTACAACAAAAAGCAGACAACTGCAATTAACTTTAATGGGCACTTCCTCGGCCCGGAAAAGGTCTGAATGGGGTTTCCCGCTCTTTTGTGCTTTTGTAAAAGCTAAGCTTACCTCTCTGCAAATCTGGCTCTCTTGTCGGCGATGCTGAGTGATTCACGCGATGATGATAGCTTCTCCTGGTCCACGAATCTCTGGGATCCCGATCCCGAACCGGAACCCCTTCTTCCCCGCCAGAAACTCTCCTTTCCCGTTAGTCGCTCGTGGAGATTGTGTCGTTTCATCAGCTCCATATCGAATGGTGCGAGGGGGGTGGTGAAGGGTGGTTCCAGGGGGGCGGCGGGGGGACTAGAGCTTCTCTCCAACAGCTGGAAGCTCTCGTCCTTGGAAAAGGGGGGTGGTGAGGTGGCTTCCTCCAGAGCGGCAACCTTGGCATTGCCTAAATTTAGCATCTTGTTTGGTGAGCAGATTTTAAATTTAGCCCATATGGCTAAATCGTTCTCCTTTCTTCCTCTTCTTGGCCGCTTTCACAAGACACCTGCATCTGTGTGCGTTAGTTGCCAAAATTCTGTGCGAGGTCAAAGCAATCAACTTTCATCTTAATAAACTACTATCTAATATCACATCTCATTATTGCACTTTGCACCCCTTGTATTATTTTCTAATTATCAATCAATTTCCGTTGATTTAATCGAGAACCGAGTGGAGAACCGAGAGCAAAAAACCGTTTTTGCCAAAGTACTGTGATAAACTGCTAAATTTTTCAGTGGTGGGAAACCATCAATTGGTATTCCACTATATATCGATACTTGGGCGCCCAATTCAAAAGTTAGATAGTTTGATAAGGCTCTCAAAAATTCAGCGGATTTATTAGGTTCTTCGAAAAGTTCTTTAGTTTTGCTTGAAATTGTAATAAAACCAAATATTTTATAGTTACCATTGGGTAAAATCTTTACATAAAGTTTAACATAAAGCAATTAATTTATCATTTCAGTGACTGTATTATTGGTCACATGCTGATAACACTAGTTTACAAAATAATATTCTTGGTGTGCTCCCCAGCAATTGATGGCAAATTCTGTTAGTGCTGGACCCCTAGATCACAAAAATAGCACTTATTTTTTTTCGATGGGACAGTTTTTTTTTAAAGATTTTTTAAAGTTCGAAATGTTAAATTTCGGACTTTTTTCGAATTTCTTCTTATATCTCGGCAGATATCCACTCGGTTGGGCCAGTTTTAGTATTATTTTAAAGTCAACAGATCAGAGCTTAACTTTGCCATACAGATCAATACGATTGGATGAGTAATGGCAGCGCAGAAGCTCGACAAAGATGAAAAATGTGTTTTTTGGTCAAATGTAAGTCGGCTGTATATATCGTAAAAACTCGAAATAAATCCGTTGAAAAATCATAATGGGTACAAACTTAAAGTTTACATCCTACCGAATAAAACAAGCCGGATATGGCCCAAATCCATGGAAAACTGGATTTATGGTGGATTTTTAAAGTTCGGATTTTTCCACTTTTTTCGGTTGACAGAGTCCAAATTTAAGATTTATCATAGGCGGCGACATGTAAACAAAAATGAGTGGTGACGGCAGCCGGGTCAAAAAATAGCTAAATTTAAAAGCTAGAAAATTATAAAATAAATTTAATTTCTGAAAATTCCTTTAAAAATATAAAATTGCTTGCGTTATGACTGTGAGTATTTTTAACTAAGTACTATCCATTTGGATAGTTCATTCTTATGAAAAAAGTAACCTTAATTAAAAAATTAAATTCACTTTAACCATTTTTCTAGCTTTTAAATATCTGATTTAGCTATTTAGTGACCCGGCTGCCAGCACCAATTATTTTTGTTTACATGTCGCCGCCTATGATAAATCTTAAATTTGGACTCTGTCAACCGAAAAAAGTGAAAAAATCCAAACTTTAAAAATCCACCATAAATCCAGTTTTCCATGGATTTGGGCCATATCCGGCTTGTTTTATTTGGTAGGATGCAAACTTTATGTTTGTACTCGTTATGATTTTTCAACGGATTTATTTCGAGTTTTTACGATATGTACAGCCGACTTACAGTCGACCAAAAAACTCATTTTTCATCTTTGTCAAGCTTCTGCGCTGCCATTACTCATCCAATCGTATTGATCTGTATGGCAAAGTTAAGCTCTGATCTATTGACTTTAAAATAAAACTAAAACTGGCCCAACCGAGTGGATATCTGCCGAGATATAAGAAGAAATTCGAAAAAAGTCCGAAATTTAACATTTCAAACTTTAAAAAATCTTTAAAAAAAAACTGTGCCATCGAAAAAAATTTTAGTGCTATTTTCGTGATCTAGGGATCCAAATCTAACAGAATTTGCCATCAATTGCTGGGGAGCATTTCGGCTGTAAACTAGTGTAATTTATTTAAATATATGAAAATGGTTATAAATAATAATATAATTCACAATAGATTTTAACAACCTTCTTTAGTTTAACTAACTCTTTAATTTTTTCATACCAGAGTCGTGACTATCGTTTTGTTTCAGTGTTGTAGGCCGATAAAACCCACCCACTGAAAAATCTTATCACATGTAGCAGCTGACTACCTTGCAGAAATAGAAAATCTGTGCAAAACCAAAATCAGGAAAACAATTGAAACACATGACTTTTCGGATTAAACAACAACGTGTATTGGGCAAAACACAAAACAAAGATAATACAATCCCGAGCGGATGGGTACACGAACTAATATTTTCGCTATTTTTACATGGAACAACAACGAATTCTCACTTTAATGTATGGAATAATAATACAGCAGTGTTTTCAGTAAGATATAACCACTATTATTACGGGTCTAAATTATGGATTAGAGTTGAACGTGGACATTGAATTTACAGCACACAGGGGCCAGTTTACTTGTGGTTGTAGTTCTTGTGGACCTCGGGCGAGATGTTGTAGACGTACTGCAGGATCTCCTGGATGACGGGCTCCTTGCGGGTCTGAATAGCCCGGTCCATGTCGGCCAGCTTGACGCGGGTATCCGCATCGATCTTGGCCGCCACGCCCTCGCGACTGCCCATGTGCTGGAATTGGGGATTATTATAGGGATTATACGATTATAGGGGGCCCATCCAACTCACCTTGGCCTCGAATTCCTTGAAGGCGCGCTCGCGCTCCTGACGGAATTTCTCAATCTCCTCGGTGGCCTCATCCTTGGCCTGCTTCAACCTCCTTGCCTTGCCTGCGGGATTACCCAGAAATCCAGATGAAAAGTCAGTGGAACTCAAGATCCCCTAATACAGTCGACCTTCCATAACTTGGACACATAACTCCCACAATAAATATGGGTTATAGAAATGAATCAATCTATATCTATAATCTCTATATTCACTGAATATAAGTTAATTGGAAAGCTTTATTACAAAGAATTACGAGTTATAGAAGTTCGACTTGTATTTACTTTTTTCCACCACATCATGTGACCCACACACAACGGCGATTATGGAGGCGGTGGAGTGGTGAAAAAAGCGCAGTTACTTTTTCGCCCTGCCGTTTCTTCCAATTGGGAATGGAAAATATATTTTCGCGAATGGAAAAACTCACGTTTACGGGCCTCGGCGACCTTCTCGGCTGCCTTTTTCTCGGCAGCGAGCAACTGCTGGATTCCCTGCGTCTGGCTGGCCATAATTCCCCAACTTCTACGTGGTGTACTGTGCAAGTCGAAAAAAGCAAGTGCGACAAAATCAAAATCGACGACGAACTGTGAAAAATGTCATATGACGAAGTCACACACACGCAAACTCACCTCAGCGACCTGGTGGTGTGTGTGCGCAGCGTGTCACAAGGCTGGATGATGGGAAACTTTCAGAGATGACAGAGCTCGATAAGAACTCGATGGGTTTTTGTTAATATTTATATTTATTTAACGCCCATTAAATCTCCCTTTTTTTTGCGGACAAGGCTTCGTGAAACGTATGTCCATGAAAAATGAGAAATAAAATTCTGACCATAATTTTTTAATTTGTAACCGATTTAATATTAGTAATTTTCATTCAAAAATTAAATTTACTTGCTTAATTTTAGTAAAAGTAAACTATTAATATTTAAATAACCACCAACAATTAATTTGTACTAAATATTTTATTTCTTTGTAATATTGTATAGAAACTATCGTTTTGATATCAAATTACAACCATGTTTAACATTAGCACAATTCACCACACTCACAAAGGCGTAGAAAGATAAACTTTTGATAAAACTAAACTTGAAATAATTAATTTTTGTATATTTTTGATTATAAATTACAGTTTTGTTTAAGCTAATTTTGTATTTTTATTTCTTTTATTTTAAATTTAGATGTTTTCGTTTCTTATCGATACTATCGATATTGCCATCTCTAAATAAACAGTTCCACTCTCGATGCGTTCGCACATTAAACAAAATAATTTCGGCATTTTGCAGCAGTAAAGTACATCTAACTATTTAAAATTCTTGTGCAAGTCGTTTAGAGGGGTTTCCCGAGATGTTTACGCCCAACACGAACGCCCCGATTGGCGGCGCCTCTGCAGCACCCGGCGCTTTTGCTTTTGGCGCGCGACCGGCGACGACGACTGCTCCGCCACCATCCTTCGGAGCCGCCACCTCCACGCCGTCCTTCGGAGCTGCTCCGGCTGCCTCCTCCCTGTTCGCAGCTCCGGCGGCCACGCCTGCTTTTGGCACCGCCCCCGCCGCAGCGCCCGCCTTTGGAGCTCCAGCTGCAGCAAGTACTTTTGGAGCACCTGCATCTACTACCGCCTTTGGAGCACCCGCTGCTACGCCCGCCTTTGGAGCTCCAGCCGCAGCCACTTCCGCCTTTGGAGCCCCGGCTGCAGCCACTCCCGCCTTTGGAGCCCCAGCTGCCACCCAAGCGTCGGCCTTTGGAGCACCTGCACCCGCCGTGGGCACCGTGGCGCCCACCTTCTCCTTTGCCACGCCGGCCACAAGTGCTCCGACCACCGCACCGCCGGCCTTTGGATTCGGAACCACAGCCACAACATCTGCAGCTGCGATGCCATCGGCACTGGGATCCACCGGCATCGGATCCTTTGCCTTCGCCAAGCCACAGGCCACCACGGCGGCGAGTTTGAACTTTAACACCACCACCACGACGGCCACGGCACAGCCCTTCAACACGGGCCTCAAACTGGGCACCACCAGCGCAACGACAGCTATTGGCGGAGGAGGAGGAATCTTTGGCAAGCCAGCTGCCCCGGCAACGTCGACTTTTGTGGGCCTGGGCGGGATTGATGTGAGTGCCACGCAGCCCAAGTTGGGGGATAACAAGCAGAATGGGATTAAGGTATGTATAAGCAGTATAGCAAAGGAACTAAGTAACTAAATCGTATAGTTCTCCTCCAGATCAAGGAGACCCAAGTGCCCGACGAGATAGTCAAGACGGTGGACGCCTTGAAAGCGTACATCAAGCAGCAGAAGACCATCTCCTCGGACATTGGCCGCACTTCCACCTCCAAGTTCACGAATGTGACCCACGAGATCGCCAACTTGAAGTGGGCCCTGCAGAACATGGCCAATGCGGTGGAGGGCAACAACCAGCAGATTCGTCTGATGCGTCAGGAGACCGCCAAGGCGATTCAATCTTTGGAGATGGCCCAGCGCACCCAGGACACGCCCGCGGGCCTGCAGTTCGAGCACAGCGCTCCCTTCCAGTACTTTCAGTGCCTGGTGGCCAAGTACGAGCAGGATTTGATCGCCTTTCGCCAGCAGATCGCTTTGACCGAACGCCACATGCACGCGCTGTCCAATCCGCAGAGTATTTCGCCCGAGGATCTGAAGCGAGGCTTTCGCCAGCTGAACGAGAGCTTCATCTCGCTGGCGGGACGTCTGCATGAGCTGCACCAGCGCGTGGAGGAGCAAAAGGAGCACTATCTGAACCTCAGGCGCTATCGACTGCGGGACGCGACCAACGTTTTCGAGCGGATCGACAATCCGCCGCTGCCGTCGGTGGAACCCCAGAGGATTAGCAGCGGTCCAACGCCCTTCTCCAACATCTCGGCCCTGATGAATAAATCCTATGCGGCGGCCGCAAATTCCGCCAGCAATGCAGCGGCCAAGTGAGAGTGGAGTTGTTTTCAAGTTTTGAATAAATCGTTATGTACTAGAGACATTCGAGGGAGTTTCGGTTTTAGTTATAGCATAGTATGCCATGAAATTTCTGATTTGTTTAATTCAGGGACCAAAAATAATCATTGTTTGAGATTTTTATTTTAAAAGGCCTACTGAGGTTTTTACATATTTTAATCAACAATTTAACTGCTTTTTATGCACTTTATAGACATGAACAAATAACAGTTAATTTGCTTTCCAGATTTGTTGAAATGCATATACAAGAGTAAAAAGAACGTTATTTTTGACGTTTAAAACAAAATATCACAGTAGTCTTTTTAAAATAAAAATGTGAAATAAATTGAATGTTTCTCTAATTCATTTCGGATTGAATGAATCATTTTTATGAATTTTGTGAATTTGCCAGATTTTTTGTGCTTTCTTTTGAGAACAAAAAGTGGAACATTTTTAACAAATCGATGTTAACTGCTTAGTAAATAAAGTTCAGGCAGATTCAATCACAAAATTATGGGACTTTCTTCTTCAAAAGAAATTGTCGTTTGAATTATTTCGGAATTCAGTTATTCAATTCTATTAAACTCAAAATTTAAATTCATTCAATTCTATTAAACTCAAAATTCTAATTAATTCTCAAAAAATTCAAAATAATTCATTGAATCCATTCATGCCAAAGACATTAGACAGCCTTTCGGTTTTAGTTATAGCATAGAATATATATTTCATCTGCAACAATCTTCACTTCTTTACCACCTGGATGACGTCCTCGTCGGCCATTACATGGGCGATTCCGACGCGCTGCGGCGAGTATTTTGTGGAAGTGCCCCACACCAGGGCGTACTTGAACTGAGCGGCCAGCGTGCGATGGATGGCGTGGCACACGTGCTCCACACTGACGCCCTAAAGGATAAGAGGTCAGAGATTAAATAGGAATTTTAATAAAATAATATCTTACCTTTCTGAGAATCAATCCGTCGTCAAAGTCCGGCGGAGCGCCCGGCTTCTTTGTGTAGACCCTGATGAGCTGCAGCGCCTCCCAGAGCGCCTCCAGCATGTAGTCCAGATTGAGCTTCATGTTGCAGCTGACCACAATTGAGTTCGGTTGGCGCGCCAGGCGGTCCACCTCCTCGATGGAAATCTGATCGATTTTGTTGTAGACATACAGACAGGGCAGATACACACGATTGGCGGTGACCACGTCGATGAACTCGTCCTCGGTGCAGTCCTCGCGGAACAGGACCTCCGCGTTGAAGATCTTGAAGGAGTGCAGGATGGTCTGGACCATTTTCTCGTTGCAACGCGTCAGCGAACAGGTGGCATTGAAGCTCAGGCCGCCGCCCTTCTTCTGCTTGAAGTAGATGTTGGGCTTGCGCTTGTTCAGCCGTATGCCCACGCACTCCAGCTCCCGTTCGAGGAGCTCCCGATGGACATTCGGCTTGGTGGCGTCCAGCATCATCAGCACCAGATCGGCGGTACGCGCAACGGCGATCACCTGGCGACCACGCCCCTTGCCCTGGGCGGCGCCCTCGATAATACCAGGCAGATCCAGCAGCTGGATATTGGCACCCTGGTACTCGATGACGCCCGGAATGCAGGTTAAGGTGGTGAACTCATAGTTGGCTGGCAGGAAGGGGTGTGAAAATTATAAGGGGGATTATCTATATTTATATATCCCACCAACTCACCCGCCTCCGATTCCGTTTTGGTCAGTGTGGACAACATTGTGGACTTGCCCACGGAGGGAAAGCCAATTAAAGCCACCCGGGCATCTCCACTTTTGAGCACATCGAAGCCATCGCCCTTTTCGCCTTTTTTAGACGGCTCCAGCAGCTGGGAGCGGTACTTGGCCAACTTGGCCTTCAGCAGGCCCAAATGGTACTCGGTGGCTGAAAGAAGAGAGGGTAAAAAACAGCTTAGCAACTCCCGGCCAGAATCGAATCCTAACCTAAATTCCCAGTTCCCTCTGGCCAGCGCGGCAAACTTGGCTAACCTTTGTTCTTCTGCGTCCGCGCAATTTCGCGCTCGATTTCCGCAATCTTCTCGAGGATGCCCATGCTGCTGGATTTCGCCTCTCAGGTGCCGGGCATGCAAAAGTTTATGGGTTTATAACAAAAGTTCGCTTTTATTTATTGACCAGCAGCGCGTCGCCCGGAATTCAGCAGCCCGGATCAGCTGTTTTCGGCACTCAAGGTAGCGCCACGAAGCGGTTCGCGGAACGCGGAACTGAAACACAGGGATGGTATTTTAAATAGGCTCTTTATTTTTTGTATTTTTCGTTCAAATAGTTTTCCAATGCCTTTAGGGCCTCTGCTTTTTCCTCAAGTATTAGTAGCTCAGCTCTACTTTTCTCCAAATCCTTTTCTAAAGCAGTCACAGCTTCTCTTGCACGATCCTCATGGCTCTTCAAACACTTCAAAATTTCCTGTGCCCTTGTTTCGTAGCCATTTTTGTACGCTATAAGATATTTCGAGCAGCGACGTTCAGCTGCAGGTGAAATAATATTTAATAATATTTTCAGGAATACTAGCTACGAATACCTAGCAATCGTTTGAACTCAGCGACTATTTTGTGACCGTCTCCCATTTTGTTAGACTTTTAAATGATAACTGACGATATCAAAGGTGACAGAAAACTCACCGAACGTACGTTCGTTGTCAGGATCCATGTATTCTGGGTCCATTCATGGCATGACAGATCTAGCATCCGTCAAAAGAATGGTTTGCCATTCCCAAAAGAATTTTTTAAGCAATAGTTTGGTGATGTTTTTTTAGAGCAACTCTGAATTCCTCATCTTGACTATGGAAATTGGAACGTTGGCTAAGAAACCAAATTCAAACCAATGGCGGGAAACAATTTAAAAATAGTTAAGCCCATTGATTTTAAGATTTTAAGTTATACTTGGCTAGATCGACACAGCTAGTGATCCTGATCAGGAGTTTATATTCTTTTTACTTCACTTTGCCCCGAATACAATATACCCTTTTACTCTACGAGTAACGCGTATTACTATCTTTTCTATTATTACATTTCAACAGTTTTCTTAAAAGTAATGAATCATAAAGATAAATTAATATTCAAATTTTGTTTGAACTTTAAGTTTGAATACTTGGATCTCTTTTTGTAGAGAGAGCTGATAAAAATGTACAAATTTAACGACTTTTTTATGTAGACTTCCGTTCTGATATGGTTCTGAATAATTTCATTTGTGCCGAAAAAGATTGCGAAGTATATAAAATAGCCGCTGGTGGTGTTTTAGAAATCAGTCTTATTTTAAAGCGCAACGGGTAAACATGTTCTTTTTGTTGAGAGTTGGTACTTTGCTCTTGATTCCGGCTTACCTTCTGGCGAATCCGGCTCCAAATGGTAATTATTGTCGACGGTTTTTTAACGGTTCTATTAGAAACCTCAAAATAAATTAAAATTTTGGCGGCACTAGGAATATTTTGTGTAGCTGAAAGACATTAAGTAGACTGATAAGCTAAAATTCCAAGGGCTTTATCACAGGGGGTTTTTTGTGAAAATATTTGTACAACTCATTTTTAAAATATTTTTTTAAAGCCTTCAAGTTTTTGTATCATATGGCCAAAAATGAAATTGATATGCCATCTCAAAAAAAAAATCGGTTCGCTGAGTTTCGAGTAAGTCATAAAAGATTTCTACCTTTTTTAGATTGCCAACCGGATGAAAAACATATCAGACTAGATCACTGCCCCCACTTGTATAACACCGAATGGACGAGACAAATGAGGACGGAATATGGCATTAGTGTCTGGCAATATCCGGGGCCGCAAATGATATGCTGTCCCAAGTCTGGTAATGAGCTCCCATCTACAGATATGTGCGAATCGAGGACATCTGATTTTCGCATTGCGAAGGGCATAGCAGCGGAGGCCAATGAGTTCCCCTGGATGGCAAAGCTCCTGTATCTGGATAGGTCAACTTCGCAGATTGTATCTTCGTGTGCGGGATCCCTGATCAACAATCGTTATGTTCTGACCGCAGCCCACTGTGTGTCTGCCATGCCGGTTAACTTGGACCTCCAAAGTGTGGGTTTAGGCGGGCATAATATCGAAAACACTCCAGAGAATATTTCGCAATGCACTGATCTACGCATTCGATGTACTGACCCCTATCTGGTCATCGACGTGGAGGAGCTTTTTGTGCATGAGCAGTACGGAAGGGGCTCGTTAGAAATGTATCAGAACGACATCGCCCTGCTGCGACTCAAAATGCCAGTACGGTGAGTAATGATTTGGAAACATCATGCTTTCAAGAAGGGCCAATATGATAACAGAAAACAAGTGGAATTAATAATTACGATTCTTGATCAGCATCACTAGACGAATCGATCTAGCCATGCATGTCCGTCCGTCTGTCCGTCTGTCCGTCTGTCTGTCTGTCTGTCCGTCTGTCCGTCTGTCCGTCTGTCCGTCTGTCCTTCTGTCCGTCTGTCTGTCCGTTTCTACGCAAACTAGTCTCTTAGTTGTGAAGCTATCGGGTAGAAACTACTGAAGATAGTACATAAGTCGGAACAAGCCTGATCGGACAATTATATTCTATAGCTCCAAAAATACTGGAAACAAAAATTATAAGTTCGTTGCTTTTTTAAATTTTACCTTCTTCTCTTAGGAATATTATTTTTTATATATTTCTGGATTTCGGATTAGCTAGCTTCCCTTATTGTTTTTTTTGTAATTTTTTAACACTGCCTGATAAACAATTTCTATTCCCCCAGCTTTAGTGCCGGAATCAAGCCGATTTGTCTCCTGCAAAACGAACTCTCCTCGACGATAACCAAGTTTAAAATAGCCGGCTGGGGAACAGAGGGAGATGTACTGAAGCACGGCGACATCATAACAGTGAACTCAAATAGGTGCGATAGAATGTTTAGAAACGTGAGGGTCAACAGTGAGCTCCAAATATGTGCCGGTAGTCCAAGAGGAGTCGATACCTGTAGAGGGGACTCAGGCGGTCCTCTGATGGTCACCGATATGGGACCTAACTACACAGAATTTACATATCAAGCCGGCATCGCTTCCTACGGATATGTACATTGCGGAAGGACTAATATGCCAGCAGTTTACACCAGAACCAAAGCGTTTTTAAATTGGATTAAGGATAGGATGAGGGCCTAAGATATTATTAAGATTAAATTTAAATTGGATTAGTTTTATTTGTCAAAAGAACTCGTAAAATATACACAAATACACGCAGGTAAATACTGTTACGATTACAAGAAACCCCACAACACGCAAATGACGATAAATTACAATAGTGACTGTAGTGACAGAGACATCGAGAGAAAGAGTTAGGCCGCCGGGATGGCGGGATGGCGGGATGTTCCGGCGTCGGTGGCCAAAAGGACCCGGTCCTCCGCTGCGAAATCCTCCACCGCCGCCAGCGATTGGCGATTAGCGTTTAGTGGTTGTTGGCATAGAAGCCATGACCCGAGTTCCCCATGAACTCCGTCCAGCGCTGCGACTCCAGGGGATCCAGCTCGGAGCAGACCTCCCCTGGCCTCAGGGAGCGGCAGGTGCACTCGATCCCGATGCGGGTCACCACCAGCTGCGACTCGAACTTGGGCAGGGCCGGCTCCGCGTCCACAAGACGCTCGCTGAGGCACTGCTTCAGGAACTGTTTGCGCAGCACGCGCAGGTTGTCGATGGTGTAGCCTGTGAATAGTCAGGGATATTTTAGATAAGATACCTTCATAACATTTGTACCACTCACTCTTGTAGGCGCTGATCTTCTCCTCCACGCAGCTGAGATCCTGCGGCGAGAAGAGCGGCGGATAGGCCTCCGATTCGCGGATGTTCAGGACGAAGGCAAAGTCCAGCGAGGAACTGGCATTGCCGAGTGCCTTCAGCAAAACGCCGGTGGATGAGATGGAAGCCAAATACCAGTCGGCTCCGGAAGAATCCTCTGAATCCTCGCCAGCTGCAGTCGTGCTTCCGGCAGCACTTTCGCGTCTCTTGCGACGCCTCCTCCTTTGCTTCTTGTTGCCCTCCTGGGCGTCCACGGCCTGTTCCCGCGCCTCGTTGTCCAGCTCCAGATCCCAAAGGCTGAGCGGGGACTGGTTGGACATTGGCTGCCCGGTGGTGCTGGGCGTGGCTGGGGTGCTGGAGGTGGCCTCGAGGAACCCGCTGCGCACATCGCGACTGCCGGGACTGGGGTACTTGGACCGCAGGTGAATGGGCCGCTCACGGTCGCTCTGCTCCAGCAGCGGAGGCACTTCGTCGTTGTACACCAGCTCGTACTCCTCCGGCAGGCGCAGCTGATTCGCAGCATCTGCCGGCAGCTGCAGTCCTTCGTAGTCCTTCTGCAAAAAGGAAAAGGTTTAGTCTATACTTATACTACTATATAAAAGAAGCTTATTTAAAACGGGAAGTTGAATCGCCAGCAAAGACGGTATGACATAGAAATCTAAAACAAAAACCGAAATTCGGTAAAAAATCAAAGATGAGAACTAATTGGTTTAAAAATAAAAAAATTGTTTTTTTCTTGAGGGTTAATACTTTTGAAAGTTTGTGTTAAATTTCTTATTTAGCTTGTACGGCAAAGACGGTATGACATATAAATCTAGAAAAAAAATCGAATTGTGGTAAAAAATCAAAGATGAGAACTAATTGATTTAAAAATAAAAAAAAATTTTCTTAAAGGTTAATAGTTTTTGAAAATTTTTCTTAACTTTCTAATTTAGCTTGTACTTACAAACTCCTTGGGGTAACCTCCTCCTCCTCCCATTCCGAAGCTGGGCAGCTCGTTCTCTGCTCCCTGAGGCAGTAGCTCCTGCAGTTGCTGTTCCATCAAGGGATTATGTCGATGATGGACTTTTGATCGCCTGCCCGGTTGCTCAGTTCCTCTGCCTAAACTGTTACCATTACCCATTTCCGTTCCGGCGGCCACCTGGCGCAGCAATTGCTCCCGATTGCCGGCCAGCAGTTTCTTGAGCAGCTTGGGATGCTTCAGCGGGGACTTCTTGCCAGCCGCCGCCGGTCGTTGTGTGCGATTCAGCTGAACCTCCAGATCATCGGTGCTAAACAGAACCGCACCGGGTGGCTCGATGTGCCTGGCAATCCCGTAGAGCTTTAGCACCGTGGACTCGTTGTACCGCAGACGACAGGTGTCGGCCCGGGCCTGTAATATAATATCGCTATCGGGCACAAATTCGTAGGCATCCCGGGCATCCGGACGATTGCGGCACTGCAGCTGCCAGTGCAGGAAGAAGTCGCCGCCGAAGCTCTGGGAAATGGAGACGCCACCGAGCAGGCTATTGGCACCGCCTGCATCCGTCATCATGGCATTGAGCAGCGGTTGTCCCGTTTTGCCACTCAGGATGGTGGTCTGCGAGTAGTAGTAGACCGGAAATCCCGGACCCGTGTTGTACTTGACCATGAAATCGGTGACATTGTCGTGATCGAAGAGTCCCGGTACAATGGCACTGACGCACTCGCTGGCCGGGAAGGTGTAGTTCCACATCATCGTGTAGTTGGCTCCGTCGAAGGCCAAAACACTGCGATTGAAGGCGGCCACCACCACGTCCGAGATGCCATCGCCATTCAGATCGCTCAGCACGGCGGGCACCATGAGACCCGATCCCGGTTGCCGATGGAGCGGCGTGAAGTGCTTCTCACTGGTGTGCGCCATCAGGGAGTGCAGTCGCAGGGAGTAGATGCCACCTGGGGTGTTCTGACCCCCGGTGACGATCAGCAGCAGCTCCGTTCCGTCCGCCTGCGTGAGCAGCTGAATGGGCACAAACATCTCCTCGCGATACGGCGTCGGAATGCTCCGGATCACCTTGCCCGTCTTGCCGGAAATCAGCTTTATGTGCCCCGCCTTCGACTCCTCGCGCTCCTCCAGGTGGGCGGCTATTATCTCCGGCACCCCATCTCCGTCCAGGTCGCGCAGCACATTGATCGTGTACAGATCCATGACGATCGGTGAGTTCGTCTCCACCTCTATTTCGCGGAAGCGCCAGATTACGGAGCCAGTGCGGCCATTTATGGCGTAGATCATCTGTTGGGGGAGTCAGATTAAAAATGTTTAAATATTATTAAGAAAATTTCAGTAATTTAAACAAAACCTTAAATTATTCCCTTCCTAAACTGATAAGAAATGGAGTAGGAAAAACAGGTAGCTTTATATTAAGTTCAAAATTAAATTTAAAATATTGAAGTACACTGATAAAAAATGGAGTAGGAAAAACAGGTAGCTTTAATAAAAAACATACCACATTTCTTGATATACAAATTTAAATAATGGTGGAAAATAAAAGATACAAAGTTAGTCATTAATACTTTAATGATTCTTTATCGATAACAATTCCTAAAAATATTTCGTTCCACTGAAGTAAACTAAGTATTAAAAAAGTGGTGTGCAAAAATAAGTATCTTTATCTTAAATTCAAAATTTTAAATACCTAAATTAATTAAAAAATTAATTAAAAAAATAAAAAACATATTCAATTTCGTGATATAAATATTTAAATTAGGGTAGAAAATAATAGATACAATGTTAGTCATTAATACGTTAATCATTCTTTATCAATAAAAATTCCAAAATTTCCTTAAATTTTAAAATTTTGTAATATTTCAATATTTAAAAATAATAAAAATCTAAAATCAATGGATTTGCTTTGTTTTTTTTATCAGTGTTTCTAAGGATAATGACATATAACTCACCCCCAATCTCCCAGCTGCCACGCAATCGGTACCCCCGTCGCCGTCCACATCCGCACTGCAGTGCAGCGAGAAGACGTTGGCCACGCTCCACGATTGCCACAGGATGGAGCCATCCAGTCCGTTCAAGGCCACCACTCCGCCCTCGCAGGGCACCTCCTCGCCTTGCTGGGCGGACTGGCACCTGGGCAGCGGGATGCCCTCGTAGTGGATGTTGTCGTCGACGCCATAGCCGAAGACCACGTCTTTGATCCCGTCGCCATTCAGGTCGGCCGATCGCAGCGGACTCTCGCTGTTCATCCGCGCCAAGCTGCGCGTCCAGCGCTTTTGGACACTGATCTGGGTGCAGGGCACGAACTCGCTGCCCAGCGAGCTGCCGTAGGCGATGCGCGAGGAGCCCGCGGAGCCCGAGATGGCCGCCAGCTGGGCGGGATCGGGGCGCCACCAGTGGCGGATTCGCTGCAGCGGCAGCGGGAAGAGCGTCAGCATGAGGGCCGCCAGGCTGAGCAGGGCACAGAGCACCGTTAGGGCGGCCAAGGCGTAGCAGAAGGGTTCGCAGCAGCGGCAGCAGCGTCGCCGCCTGTGCTGCTTCATTATGGGCGTCGATCCTGATCCCGAACCGGGAGCAGATCCGGGACTGTGCTTGCGACGCGGCGCCATCAGGGGCCTCTTCAGGCCCTGCTCCTCGCTGCGCTGTGGATGAAAAATAATTGAAAATTAGTACAAATGTTTTTAAAAGCCAATTTTCACACAATTAAATTAATATATTTTATTTCTGGGATTGTATTTATTTATTTGTATTTTTTTCTATTATTTTTTCATATTTATTTAGAGTCTAAATATATTTTAAAGACTCTTTAATTTATGCGATAATTTATTTCACAGAGAAGTTTTTACATTTTCACAGTTGTACACAGAGAAAATTATCAAAAGTTTTAGGTGCAAAATAAGTGGCGAAACATTTTAAAAAGTAAAATGCTTCATACAAATTTATTTTACTTTGCATTTTTTAAACTTTTCATATTTATTTTTAAATATGAAAACGGCACCTAAAACGTTGTATAATTTTCTCTGTGTATAAACAGGCGAATATTTATCGCAAAATTAACTTCGGCATATGGAAGCACAAAACTTTGGATAAGTTCAGGCCAAGCCTATATAAACTGTATTAAAATCCAGGAAACAGTAGGTTTAAAAGGAAAAAAACACTTAAAATATATCCAGAGACAGAACTTTTTCTTATCTGTACACTTGAAACTTAAGACGAAGTCTTTCCACCGTTTTATTAACCCTTCTAAAAATGATTTCACTGCACTTTAGGATCTTTAATTTCTTCAAGAAGAACTCACCTTCGCCGACCTGGCATCCTTGATGAACACCTCGTCCTCAACATCGTCGCTGGCATCCTCATCTATGGACGAGTCCCGTATGGCAATCCTCTTGGAGGGCACATATGGTCGCAGTTTGATCATCCTGGGTTCCGGTTCCGCCGATGCCGATGCGGTTGCCCCACCGCCAAGCTGCGCCTGCAAGAAAGCCTCTGGTTTTTTAGCCGCTCGAAGGATGCGCTGCGGATCCTTTAGAGCATTTTTCGTGTGCGTTCCCGTTTTGTCCGTGCAACTCCAATTGCAGCGATGCGCGTCCGGCGATTGTGTAAAAATCAATAGCGACGTCACGGCTTCGCGCTCAGCTGTCCGCGAAAGCGGAGCATGCGCGTTTGGTAGCTACAGTGGAACCACCCGAACCACCACCCACTGCGGCGAACGCCACGTGTTGGCCAGCGGCTACAGGTTTGTTTGTCAACAATGTGGCGGCCCACCTGGCTAGCCCTCTCTCTCTCTCTCTTTGTGGCTCTCTTTCTCCCTTGCGGCATCTGTTGCTGGACAGAGCCACCACCCAAAAGCCACCCACTAACCACCACCCATCATCCCTACCCCTCCTAAGCATCATCCCCCTGCTGAAAACTCCCTGATTAGCTCCTCCCGGGCGGTTCAATGTCCTCGCTTTGAGGCTTTTCATGAATGAAGTGGGTGGAGTTGGGATATGTGGGCAAGTGGGCGGTGGGCGAGGCAGCGGGAGTTCCATTCACCGAACTTCCGCGTGCTGCCGATGTGGGTCACATCTTCTGTGGGACACTGTGTGGTTTCTCGCCGCTCCCCAAAGCTGGTGATTAATATTTAATGGCATTTTGTCTGCCTTTCAGTGGCAGGAAGTGAAATGGAAAAGATATGATTGGCTGATATCTTAGCGTTCGATTAAAGCTAATCTTGAAATAAGCTTATTTTGATAAGCTGGTACTAAATAAGAAAATTTTATTCGTGTAGCATTGTTAAAAATTAGAAACACTGATGTTGTATTTTGGTCATGCGGTTATTCCACTACATCGTTCGGATCATTCATTAGTACAATTTTTTCTCAGCCCATACGATTTTACGTAGGTGCGAGCAAGATCCGATTTACTGTAGCTCTAATAAATGAGCAAAATTGTACTTTTTAGATTCAATTTTGCTCATACAAAAAAAAAAAAAATGGTGGCCTTCGGTTTTTAAAATTTTGCTCATTAATTGCTCATTGCAGCTGACATATATCTGTCTTGCTCGCACCTACGTAAAATCGTATAGGCTGAGAAAAAATTGTTCTAATGAATGAGCCGACCAATGTAGTGGAATAACCGCATTACCGATTTAAAATTATTTAACTACCAATTTTAAAAAATATAACAAATCAAAATTTGGTCTGTTAATTTTAATATTACATAAATATTACTGTTAATTTCTCGTCCCAACCTGTATCGTCAATTAAAATTACTGTGTGTCCATTTTCCATTTTTACTTATAGTATCAAAAAATTAGCATTTAAAAACAGAAAACAGACCATAAATAGTTATGTTACCTCTATAATAACAATGAATTCATCTCCAAGTTCCGTTCGCAGGCCAACATTGCGATTGGTTTTGGTCAAAACAATGCAATTGACGCTCATCCCTTAATTTCTCAGGGGAAGTTAGTCCAGATCAGTCCAAATAACTTTGCAACCTTGGCTCTCTTGACGTCACAGCTTTTTCCTTGCAAACGAAATATTCATTTGGCTTAATAAGTTTCCGTTTCTGTAACTATTTTTCTCATAATTTATTTTACAACATTTTCTATGACGTAGTGCGCTTGTCAAAAGCCAAACACACAAGTGAAAAGTTCCCTAGATATTTTTTTATTCCCCACCGCCACCATCCAAAGTATTCAAATTGCAAGTGCGCCAAAACCTTTTGCGAATTTGCCATAGCCGCCGCCCTGATGCTGCCCTCAGCAGAAACTTAAGAGCACCACTTAGTGGGGGTGGATGATGATGATTCTGGTGGGGAATAGGAGCACTCAGAACAGGTCCAAGCTCGACTGCATTCGAATAAACTATAGAAAAATCAGCGGCTTTTTATAGCTGCCCCATCAATAGAGAGGAGTGAAAGGGGGTGGGGATGGTGATGGGGATGGGGGAGGGGGGTGAGGTGCTGACTTAAGTGTGCTATTATCGCATCAGAGATAATTTAATAACGACGAGTCTTCTTCTTTTCCTTCGGTCGGAGGCCAGAAAGCCAGAAAGGCAGAAAGGATGTATGGAATCCGCTCAAGAGTGTTGCGGCAAGGCGTCGAGTAGTGCTTAGGGGCGGGTGGGCGTGGCAGGTCTCGGGGACTCACAAAATCTACACATATGTATAAAGCTGGCTTACAAGTGAGTGTACCTCAAGGTCGCCAGGAATTCGAAGAAGGAAGCAAGGTGTTTATTACTTATGATTCCTTCATTATAAATTGTGCTATCACTAATTATGTAATTATAAGATATTTTATCTATTTTATCTATCTTTCCAATAAGTTAAATTTTCCTTTTTAATACAAATAAGTGCAGTTCATATGGGCTATAAATTTAAGATTCTTAAGATTCTAATTCTATTTTTTAAATATTTTGAAATATTCCAGCATTGTAAAGTTCCTTCTATTTCTGAATTACAGAAATTCATTTTTGGACAATAAACAATTAAATAATTTCATTAAAAATATATTTTGAAAGCATGTTAGGAAATGGAAAAATCCAACAAAAACAATAAATAAATAACTGTGTATTTCCGATTTTCCCCATAATATTAACTTACCAATTTCCCACTTCCCAAAGCGCTTTAGTCATCTCATTAAACTTGATTTTCCCCGCAGTTTTCCGCTGGCTTTTATTTTCTATTCTTTGTTATTCCAATTGTGCTTTCCTTGTGACGTCAGAGGGGGATCACAGGATTACCGTAGCGCTGCATTCATTAGTCCGGGGTCTCCAAGTGTCGTATGCCCCTCGAGGATGCCACTGGCCCCAACTTTTGATGCGACAAACGGCACTTCTGGGGCCACTTGCCAACTTGCGGAGCACTTGTTAGGGGAGGACTAACAAGGAAATTGATTGAACAATGCTCTGGACCTAAGAGTCCAAGTGTGAACAAATAACAAACGAGCGAAATAGCTGCAATACACATTCAAGAATTTTCCCTCGAATTAAACAAGCCGAATCGATAGACAAATGTCGCATCTTGCCATGATGCCAAATTGAAGGTCCTGCCCTCCACATGCGGCAGTGCATCATCTAGTTTCTGGGCGAAGGAGAAGACAACAATGTCGATGACGACAGAGCCGAGCCGAGATTATGTGGCAAATGGAGGCAATGCCAAAGTACTCGAGGAAATTATGTTAAGTGACAAACACACAGGCCCATGGCGATGCAGCCCTCGTTTGGGGAAAGGATATTTGCCTGGCCTATATATAGACGCATGTACAAACATCCACGATAGTTCCTTGTTCTCCCAAATATATTAAAGACTATGCTTCTGGCGGCTTTCACTTTTGTTTTTCCCACGGAAAAGTCGGAAAAGGACTCACCCACACGCACGCATCACTTACACCAGCATCGCGTCAAGCATCCTGCATCCTTCGTTGGTGAACTTTTCGTTCGTGCCTGGCAACGTTTTAAATTCAAATCTGTTCGCCTCCAACTGTCAGTTGTCAGCGAAAGTTTGAACTGCTAAGACGTTCAAAACGGAAGGAACTAAATCTTAAAAATTAAAAACCAGTCAGCAATTAAATGCTTAAGAGTGCTAAATATTTATGTGAACATAAACTTCATATTTGACATATCGGTAAACATTTTCAATTATTCCGGAAAATTCATAAAAAGTGGTGTTTCTTAAACATGTCAATTAGTGCGACAAGCTGATGGTTATGTAATCTCTGTGAAGATTCCAGAAATCCAACAGAAATCTTTTGCTTCAATAACCAAACGAAATACAGTTGACTTCAAGAGAACCCTTTGCATCGAATTCATCCAAAAACTGTGTAAGATGTTTAAAGTTTTAGGTTTTTTTCAAAAGTCAATTTAAAGTTTGTAAAGATTTAACTTTTGTTTAGAAATGGTTTTATAAATAATATTATAATTTTTTAAGAGGTTTTATGGTTAATATGCAATGAAGTACTGTATAAAAAAATATAAGAACTTTCACATGAAAATCAAAAGGTTTTTAAACATTTTAAAATTTGTTTGCCAATTTTTCATAATATTTATCAACATTTTTTGAAGGGATGTGTAAAAAGTGTTGACAGTTATGTTGCAATACGCACATGCGGTTACTAAAATAAGAATTTTTTTTAATTGTAGTAGAAAATATTTTTTTTATTATCCCACTATTTTTAAGCAATATATTTAAAACTTTAAAATTATTGTCTTTAAAAAATGTTGTAGTTTCTATTAGTGGTTTCCTCTACCGTTAGCATAAATAGCAGGGTTTTTTCGATGGTTACATTTTTGTAACACAACAATTTAGTATTTCAACACACTTGCATGCTTTTTAATAAGATATTCTTCTTTTCATACAAATAAGTGCACTTCAATATTTGAACTATTTATTAGAAGAGAGTACATTATAACAACACCAATTTAAGGTTTTTATTACTTGTAATAAGTTACTTTTTAAACTTTTGTGGCGTTATAAGAAGTGTGTCTTAAAACTATATATTTGTTTTAAATCAAGTCACGAGTAAAAATTAGTTGATCATACATACTTGAATTAATTTTACCAACTACACTTTAAAAGCCTGAAAGCCTATTAATGAATTCATTATTTAAAATCGCTGATGCTTTAAGTTGTCCCAATTTGCCATCAAGAAGAAGGAGAGCCCCAGACTTGTGCCGTGGCAATTGTCCTTGTCTAATGGGGGCTCTGCAGCATTGGCAGGATTCTTTCATTGCCCGCTTTCTTCTCCGTCTTCGTCATGTGGGCTGGGGGGCTGAGGAGGAGCAGGAGCAGGGGGCGTGGCATCCTCGCGGTCGCATAAAAAGGCGCATGGGCCACTTAAGGCACGTTGTTCACCCATCGCCCACCGACTGCATTCCGCCCCTTCGAGTGGCTTTAATTGTGAATTAAGACGGTATTGTGTGTGCAGCGAGCAACTGGGACGACGGCAGGTATTGCTGTCTATGTCCTGCGGCCAGGGTTGCCATCCCGCATTCGGATTCGGAATCGACGCCATCCAATGCCGAGGCTATCGAGGCATTGTCGAAGGCAACTGCCCTTTTGTCTCTTCTCCAGTCTCGTCCCCCATTTTATTTACTTGGTTAAGCGGCATAATTGTTGCTATTTTCGTGCCAATCGCTCTCGATGCATTGTCAATGCCAGGACAGACCCCTCGAAAGCCTTTGATCCTTTCCACCTGGCGGCAAGGTCGCAGAAAAACAGACACAGTCACAGACCGGGAAATCGCTTCAAGTTGTTTGTCTCGAAGTCGACCTTTTGTATAGAGACATTGGGCAGGAAGAACCCTGAAAATAATACTAATTCTCATCGAAAATAGGTTTCAGGAACAACCTGAAAAATGTCTTCAAAAACTATTGAGCTATAAAAGCCAAAACTGTTTTCAATGTTTCTAAATTTTAGAAATATTTCTTTTAAGATCTCTTTAAAAATCTTAAGTTATTTAAACCAGAACGACCTGAAGAATTTCTTCAAAAACTCTTGAGCTATAAGAGCTAAAACTATTTTCAATGTTTCTAAATTTTAGAAATATTTCTTTTAAGATCCTTTTGAAAATATTAAGTTATTTAACATTTTCTATAAGAGCTTACCTTTTATGACGAAGCCAGTACGACCTGAAGATTTTCTTCAAAAACTCTTGAGCTTTAGAGACCAAAACAATTTAGAATTTTTTTAAATTTTATAAATATTTTTTTAAAATTGGCTATGTTAATGTTTTTACATTTTAGAAATATTTTTTTATGATCCCTTTGAAAATATTAAGTAATTTAAAATTGCTATAATAGCTTACCATTTGGTTTTTAGTTGTCAGGCAGAAAGAGCTCAGCTAGAAATGGTGGTCCAAATAATTCTTCTGGTGATCTGCACCATCTGCCTGAAGCACTATGCCAAAGGGGAGTTTCAGTAAGTATGAAAAAACAACCAACCCGAGTATTGAATCAAAAATTTCCCATAAAACCAGACAAAGTCTGGCCATAACCGACATCTTGCCCGAGGACATCAAGCGCTACGATAAGATGAGACCGCCCAAGAAGGAGGGCCAGCCCACAATAGTCTACTTCCATGTGACGGTGATGGGTCTGGACTCCATCGATGAGAACTCGATGACCTATGTGGCGGACGTGTTCTTCGCCCAGACTTGGAAGGATCACCGCCTGAGATTGCCGGAGAATATGACACAGGAATACCGATTGCTGGAGGTGGACTGGCTGAAGAACATGTGGCGACCTGATTCGTTCTTCAAAAACGCCAAATCGGTAACCTTTCAGACGATGACCATACCCAATCACTATATGTGGCTGTACAAGGATAAGACCATACTCTACATGGTTAAGCTGACATTGAAACTGTCCTGCATCATGAACTTTGCCATCTATCCACACGACACACAGGAATGCAAGCTGCAGATGGAGAGCCGTAAGATTTTCTCAGCCGAGTGTAAGCTCTTGAAATTATTTATTTTGTTTTTTTTAGTATCCCACACCACAGACGACCTGATATTCCAGTGGGATCCCACCACGCCCCTGGTGGTGGACGAAAACATCGAGCTGCCGCAGGTGGCTCTCATCCGCAATGAGACGGCGGACTGCACCCAGGTGTATTCCACGGGCAACTTCACCTGCCTGGAGGTGGTGTTCACCCTGAAGCGCCGCCTGGTCTACTACGTCTTCAACACCTACATACCCACCTGCATGATCGTGATCATGTCCTGGGTATCCTTCTGGATCAAGCCGGAGGCGGCACCGGCCCGCGTGACCTTGGGCGTCACCTCCCTTCTCACCCTCTCCACGCAGCACGCCAAGTCGCAGTCCTCCCTGCCACCCGTTTCCTATCTCAAGGCCGTGGACGCCTTCATGTCCGTCTGCACTGTGTTCGTGTTCATGGCCCTCATGGAGTATTGTCTGATCAACATCGTCCTAAGTGACACGCCCATTCCCAAGCCCATGGCATATCCTCCGAAGCCAGTGGCGGGGGATGGGCCCAAAAAGGAGGGAGAGGGAGGGGCTCCTCCGGGTGGCAGCAATTCGGTGGCCAGCAAACAGCAGGCCACTATGTTGCCACTGGCCGATGAGAAAATCGAAAAGATTGAGAAGATATTTGACGAGATGACCAAGAACAGGAGGGTAAGTGGAAGTTTCTTTGATTTTCTGATCATTTTAGTTTGAGAAAACAAATAGAGAAGAAACGAAGCTCTGAAATAAGAAGCTTAGTAGCAAAGTCAACAATTTTCAACAAATATAAATAGGAAAAAATGAAGTTTTCTCACGAAAATTACACAGAGAAAATTATGCAACGTTTTAGGTGCCGTTTTCATATAAAAACGTTTTAAAAATAAAAATAAAAACGTTTTAAAAATGCAAAGTAAAATAAATTTTATGAAACGTTTTAATTTTTAAAATGTTTCACCCCTTATTTTGCACCTAAAACTTTTGATAATTTTCTCTGTGTAAGAACAATTTAATTTAGATTTAAAATATGTGCACCTACTTTTTAATCTAAGTTTTTCTTTAAATAAATATTACGGTTTTTTTTAGCCGTAGTTATGTAATAGTAAAGTTTAAATTAAAATTAGTTTTTCAAAACGTGTCCATATTTATAACCAATATAATATTTAAAAATACAGATTTTTCTTAACGTTTGAATAATGTGAAATAATTCGCAACTTTTATTTAAAAATATTTTAGATACCAAATTTTATTTCTAATCCTTGCGGTTTTGAATTTAATTATATCTTTAAGTAGTATTTTTTAACAAATCTTAATAGTGTACAAGATAAAGGAGGGCATTCAATTAAAATAGTTCTTATATTTTCATTTCATTTCATTTCATTTATTTTTGAAGATAAAATTTAATGTGCAATATTTTTCAGATTGTGACCACCACTCGACGTGTGGTGCGTCCGCCGCTGGACGCGGACGGTCCGTGGATTCCGCGGCAGGAGTCGCGAATAATTCTGACTCCGGGGATTGCGCCGCCGCCACCGCCTCCGCCGCCGGCGGCACCGGAACCGGAACTACCGAAGCCCAAGCTGACCCCCGCCCAGGAGCGGCTCAAGCGGGCCATCTACATCGACCGCTCCTCGCGCGTCCTGTTCCCCGCCCTCTTCGCCAGCCTCAACGGCATCTACTGGTGTGTGTTCTACGAGTATCTGTAAGAACCGCGAACCGCGAACTACGAACTACGACCTCTTCGGCCCTGTACATACACACTTCGCTAGCTCTCTCTGGCGCTCCATCCGAGTGTTAAACGTTGATTGTTCGCATATATCGAAACGTATATCGCAAATTTACTCTTAAGCTTTCACGCACAAGCTTTAAGTCAATGAATTTTAAACATAGATGATTGTTGAACCACAAGAAAAACAAAAAAAAGACGAAAAGGAAAGAAAAAGAAGGAGTTATGAATACAGGATAAATTACAAATTACCAATTAAATTCCTAAAAATGCTTAAAGTTAATCAAGTGACGTTGTAGCTGATGTAGATTAAGTGAATTGTAATTTAATGTCTCAAACAAATGCTTTTAATTGTAAATAAATAGAGAATCCATTTAACAAAAAGTTTGTGATTGGTTGTTTGGGTGGGGTATTTTAAACAAAAATTAAAAAAGTGAGCTTTTAAATAGTATCAGGAGAAAAGTCCTCTAGGGAACTTTTTATTGAATAATTTTTATCAAAACCCAGGCGAATAAAAGCTTTTCTACTGCAAAAGCTAATAGTGGGCTTTGCAAAGGGATACTATTTGAGGTTAATTTGAAATACCTTCCCCATTTGGTTTATTACTTCGCATAACAACTTCTCAGCCCATTCGTTTTTAACACCTTGCTCTTCTTCTTTTTATGGAGCAGCAGTTATAAGTTTATTTCGCGCTGCTTTTTCTTTTAAAGGTGCCAACATTGGATGGAACAATGGAACTTGCTCGGGTTTCTACCGTTCGCGGTTGTCAAACAGCTGCAGGGTGAAGAGAGATGGTCTTATGAATACCCAATTAATTATGTTGGTCACACGCTCTACACTTTTGCCTTTTCACGGTCGTTAGTGACGCCTGAGCAAAAACCGATATGGGGCTCGAAATAAAAAAACGAAAACAAAATTTACCAATTGAGCCTGAAATAAGATAAAGAGATGTTAGATCTAAGAGATCGCAGAAAACCAAAACCTTGTAATTGTTTGCCTTTTTCCACTTAAATTTTACTTAATTTTTTTCGGGTTTCTCCTCCATGTCGTTCGATGATCAATCATATGTTTATGTGTGAATATGTATGTTTTGCGGCTAAGCCATTTGCATTTGAAGTAGGCCAGTCTTTGGCCTCTCGCTTCGTTTTGGGGAAACCACACCACCATGAATCACCCAAAAACCACATCGAACACGGGCCCAGTACTCGATTGCATTGGCAGAGGCTTCGAGAGCGGAAAAATAAGCTAAGGTTGCGCAAATTCAGTGTTTATTTGGGACTGGGGAATACCTGAGGTTGAGCATTATGTGGGCGTGCTCAATGCAAATTGACTTGGCTTAAAATGGAGGAGGGTTCAATGAGTTGGCTAAGTTGGTCAAATTTTGAAAATTACTTTTCTTAGTTTAATAGAAGAAATATGACCAATTAAAGTGACTCGCTGGGTGCTCAAAGTCTCACCTCTTGCACAGACAATGCCCAGAGTCTGAAGAAAGTAAAAATCCAGCTGACAACCTCACGGCTACCGTCGCGGCTCTTAAGTTCCCCCCTTTTTTCTCCCGCCCCTTAAAAGCCGAAACGAAAACGAAACGAAATGCTCCATCGACAATAACAACAATAAAGGCCAAAGCTAAAGCTGCCTGACAACGACGACGCCACAAAATGTTATGTTGTTGCTGCTGGCCTGATGTTGTCTTCGGCTTTTGCAGTTTCAGTTTCAATTTCAGTCGAACTCGGGCAGCAACGGCACACGGAAGCAGGCCGCACTCCGCTCCAAACATCGAGTTACAAAAAAAAAAAACCCTTTAAAAGGCCCCAAAATAAACCCATCATAAGCCATAAACTGAAGCTGTTTAAGTTTAAAGCACCTTGTTTAATTCGAGCTGGGAATAAAAAAGTGAAATTCGTGCACTTTTCACAGCCGTTTCGCAATCTGTTCGGGGCGTAATATAAAAATAAATATTACAAAATTCAATTAAACCAATTGGCAGCTCGTAAAAGTTTACACCAAGGCTAAATTGTGGTTCAGCTAAGCCGAGATAACGAAACCGAAGAAAAACGTCGCCGCAGCTTAACACTTTTTAACACTTTCATTTTCGCTCAGAGTCGTTTTCGTTGGGTTCGTTCGTCATCGCCTTTCGTCGAGTGTGTTAAATAATAGTAAACAAAAAAGTGAACGAAACTACCACATTTTTCGGCAAATGTTCGAGGGCTTCGTGAACTGAAAACGGAAACTGCATTTCAAGTTGATGTTCGGCAAGATGCAAACGAAGGTGTTGCTGCTCTGCCTGGGTTGGTATTAAAATCAGACAAAATAACATAAAATCAGGCCCCGAAATTAACAGATAATTAACCTAGTTTTGGGCATTCCAAAAAATCATTTGGTAACAATTTATGATCGGCTTATGGTTAATTTGTGCTAATGCGGTGCGCAAAAAAGTAACAAAGGAAAACAAAAGACTTAGGCAACGAACTTGCGCATCCGACGAAAGTCCGAATGCAGCTGATGATTGGGGTTTGTTTTTTTGTGTGATTGTGATTGTCATCGTCATCATCGTGATTCGTGCAACGTGAGGTGGCTTGCAACTTTCTTTGCCTGCCCAACGCCGCCAATAAAACTTCCGCTCGGTGACGTCAGAGACGGACAGAAAAACCAGCTGGCATGCAAATCACATAGATGCGGACACCAAGGCCAATCGGGGAGATCTCCCCTGGCCCGAACATTACACCTGTGTACGTGTTTCTTGGTATTACCGCAACGCCAGGCTTGACCATCTATTATGCAACAACAAAAAATAGAGAGAGAAAAAACTTGTCAACGCCGCTGTTTGTTGGCCATTTGCTGGCCGTTTTGGCCGTTGCCGGTGCCAAAACTCCAGGTTTGCCAGCTTTGCCGATGAAGGCCTGACCATGAAGTGTTCAATTTTATGTTATTTCTACTGCTTCGGAAGTTAATGCAGCTGCTGTGCTGCGTTTCTTTCGATCCCCCGGGGGGATTAGTTTGTAATTTTCCAGCAGCAGCCGTGGCAGCGTTGACATCTCAACTGCTTTATTGGGGGATTTTCACTTTCGTTTGCCGCGCAATTACAGGGAAATTGGTTGGCTGGAGCTTACGAGATTCCTGGTGTTGGCTTTATACCTAAGGTTTTAGAGAATTGGATGTTTTACCTCAAGGTTTAGTTAAACTTTTAAGTGATTGAATTAATCTTGTGGTTCAAATATTAAAAGAATTAAATTACTTAAGACAAAGTCAATACATTAGATAAATTGATTATTAATGAAGTGACGATCTATAAATTATTTGGTAGTTTGTAATTTCAAGTTTAATGATTTACGAATCAATTAGGTGAGTCTTTAAAATTCCAAAAATGTTTTATTGCAAATTTTGAAATTTAATATAAAAATGGCGGTGAATAATTTTGAATTATTGGCACCTTATTAAAGAATTGGTAGTACAATTTTCACTTTTTTCTTTGAAAGGAATGTGTGACATCTTTTTGGGTCAAAATGCACAAAAGCCCGAGCCGAACCGAACAACAATGAACCGAAAAGAGAGCACACATATCCATGACGAATGTGCTTAGTCTGTCTAGGGCGCCAGGGGCATTCACTTTTCCCAAGAAATCATTTCTGTATAAGCCCTATAATTGGCCAATATTTCATTGTGTTGGGGCGAGCAGCAACGAAATGAAGCATTGCCATTTGGTATGGGCAATTTTATTCCAAGTGAAAGTGGCAAAGTTGCAGTGCACACCTCGAAAAATGTTAATGAGCCGCCTTCGAATCTGGCATAAAAGCAAAACAAGAAAATCAAAATAAAGCAGAAAGAGGCGAAATAAAACCGAAACTGTAGCAGCTTAACCCAAATCACTGCGAGATAATCAATTTTGTTTTCCTTCGCTGCGAGGTGAAATCTTTCGGCGACCTTGAAGGCGCTTTTAACTTACATAAAGAATCGCCCGGGAGGAAGTTCCTCATCGATGCGATCTTCTCCGCCGAAAAAAATGTCGAGTCATTAAGCAAAAAGAGACAAGCCCACCAAAAATACCACAAAAAACCCCTAGCAATCCAAGCCAAACGAACTGAGATTATGTCACGGCAGCCAAGCAAAATAAACACAAAACTAAATAAACATTAAATGCTTCAGTTGAACAACGACATACTTTCTTATTTAAGGGACAAGGGAGGTGGGGCGGTGGCTCGCTTTGCAGATGCGTAATGCCAATTTGTGACATTATTCAACCGGCGAAGACGAAGAGACTTTGCATAGGGCTATTGTTCGGCTTGAAGTGAGCTGGGTCAGTCGGGAGATCGCGGATCTGCAGTGCTTCCTGCTTTCAAACTGTGTAACCAAATGGTGGCCAACTGTGCGTTTCATAACTCTAAAAGGGGGAACTGCAAGTGCACTAAACAATTGCTTAAAAAGTGTTTTGTTTACTTTTAGAGCTGTAGAAAAATACAGAAGACTTAACTATATGTTGTTATTTGTTATCCAAAAAAAATACCATAATTAATAAATATTATTTTTTTAATAAGTAAAGTGTAATGATAGCGAATCGTTGCTATCAAATAAAATCAATAATTTATCAATTCAACTATCTTATCTGAATTGTACACAATTAGATTCCGTAGAACAATAGTGTGATAATACGGACCTTTCATTTATTCATTTCCAGTCATTTATTATTTTCCATTGAATTTATTATATATGTTTTTAGAAAAATTTATCTTGCAAATTATCGTTTTTTCTTTGCATTTGATTGAATATATATATTTAAGTTCCTATTAAATTATTATTTAACAAAGAAAATAATAAGCATCTAAAATAATTTAAGTTTTAAATTTTTATTAATTAAATCCAAACTTTACTAACAATTTTCCTTCTCCTTTTCAGTACTCTCTTTGGGAACTCTTGCTTGCGGGCAATCGGTTGACGCCAACGATGAGGAGCAGCCGCAGCATTTGACCAACGACGGTAAGTGTGATCAAGATGCGGTACGCTGTGCACGGACATTCACAACTTTAACCCTTAAGGCAGCGTCTTTCTTTCAGCCGCACCTGCACGACCGACGACTGGGTCGCCAGTTGAGCGAGGACTTGGGTCAGAGCTCCGCCAGTAGTGGCAGTGCCAGTGGCAGCAGTCAGTCCAGCTCCACCTACGAGGATGAGGAAGACGACGATGTCGAGGGTTCAAGCGAGTACTACGACAGCGATGAGGAGCAGTCGGAGGGCAGCAACGAATCCCTGCCCCGCCTGCTCTCCCAGTCCACCTTCAATCGCATCTCGGAGACCCTGGGCGCCCTCAATCATGTGGGTCACATGCTGGTGGACATCACGCGCGGTGGTCAGGATCAGGCCAAAACGGAGGGGGTTGAAAAAGAGAAGAGTGAGGATAAGACTGGCGAGGAGAGCAGTGTTTCCAGCACCACTGAGTTGGCTCCCTCCTCTACCGTATCCTCCTCTCCTCAGGGAAAATCGGAACCACTTCCCGGAGTCTCGGGCAAACTGATGGACCCCCTGCCCATTACACTCTCTGCCAATAGTTTGCTACCAGCTGGCAAGCCCGCCAATCTGAGTGTTATCCAGGTGGCCACCAAGAGAATTGGCAACGATGACTCTGCTCCCATGTTTGTGGAGAACAAGGAGCTCAAGCTGAAGAAGAAAAAGAAGAAGAACAAGAACAAGCAGAAGGTGAAGAAGCCCAGTGAAGAATTAGTCCAAATTCCAACTGGAGCTCAATCGCAGCAGAAGATCAAGATACCCACAACTCCGAGAACCACCACAACTAGCACCTCCACCACCACAGAAGCTTCGATTACCCTGAGTGCCTTGGATAAGCTGGATCAGGACGAAAGTAATGATGATGATGCGGGAACCGGCAAGGATGTGGAGAACTACTGTAAGACTCCAAGTGGAAGGAGAGGTCGCTGCGAGGATCTCAGCAGTTGTCCCGCCCTGCTGCTCAATCTCAGCAGCCTGAGGGAATCGCTGTGCTTCAAGAGCCTCTATGTGCCGGGCGTGTGTTGCCCCATTTCGGCATCCTCCACCGTTTTGACCACCCAGAAACCTCTGAGACTGACCACTCGACCTACAACCACTACGACGAGCACTACAAAGGCCACCACGCTGCCCACGAAGAAGATTACCGTTCGACCCACCACGCGACCCACTTCGGGACTTGTTTTGATTCCCCAGAAGAAACCGCCAACCACCACGACGACCACCACAACGGAGGTGCCACTGGAACCCGAGGGTCTGGATGAGATCGGCAACAATATCGTGGATCCCGATGAGTGCGGCCAGCAGGAGTACTCCACGGGCAGAATTGTGGGCGGAGTGGAGGCCCCCAATGGTCAGTGGCCTTGGATGGCGGCCATTTTCCTCCATGGACCCAAACGCACGGAGTTCTGGTGCGGTGGCTCCCTGATTGGTTCCAAGTACATCCTCACTGCGGCCCATTGTACCCGAGATTCGCGACAGAAACCGTAAGGCAAGGATTGGGATTTCTATTCCATGGTTATTAACTTTTGATCACTTTTAGATTTGCTGCCCGTCAGTTTACAGTGCGATTGGGTGACATCGATCTCTCCACGGATGCCGAACCCTCTGATCCCGTGACCTTTGCTGTGAAGGAAGTGCGAACCCATGAGCGGTGGGTTAAGGTCTTCCATTAAAATATTTATATTATAATTTTCTGTGTAACTTTAGCTTCTCCCGCATTGGTTTCTACAACGATATTGCCATTCTGGTGCTGGACAAACCGGTGAGGAAGTCCAAGTATGTGATCCCCGTCTGCCTGCCCAAGGGAGTTCGGATGCCGCCCAAGGAGCGACTGCCAGGTCGCAGGGCCACCGTCGTGGGCTGGGGAACCACCTATTACGGCGGCAAGGAGTCCACCAGCCAGCGGCAGGCGGAGCTACCCATTTGGAGGAACGAGGACTGCGATCGCAGTTACTTCCAGCCCATCAACGAGAACTTTATTTGCGCCGGGTACTCGGATGGCGGAGTGGATGCCTGTCAGGTGGGTTAAAAGGATTATTTTCTATTTTAGGGATAGGATTCTAGTTTACTTTCCTTTCTAGGGCGACTCTGGCGGTCCTCTGATGATGCGATATGACTCCCACTGGGTGCAACTGGGGGTGGTTTCCTTCGGCAACAAGTGTGGCGAACCTGGCTATCCTGGTAAGTTACTATATATTCTTTACCCTCTTTAATATTTTTGATTAATTTGTATACCTTCACCAGGTGTCTACACTCGTGTCACTGAATATCTGGACTGGATACGCGATCACACGAGGGACTGATCGCCCTACTGATCCAACCTGACCACCTTAGCCGTAACTGTAGCCTAGGTTTAGGTACACACTAGTCTATGTACTCTTAATGACCCCCTCCCTTCCCGCTTTCTGTTCTATGTGCAGTGCCCTATTTATTAACCGCATCCCATTGCTATGATGAATGGCATTTGTTGACTAAATTATTAATATTTAATTTTGATAAATAAACTGTGTGAAAAAATAGTTTGTTTTATATTTTAGTTACATGATGAAGGTTGTTTTGCTGCCAAACATGAAGTAAAGTATCTTTTCATGTGATGATTTTTAATTTTAATCTATAATTACGTATTTACGTCTTTATTGCGACTCATTAAGCAAGCTTAATATCTTTACATATTTGTATTTACTGTACAAAAGATAAAGAACAAACTGATCATGGTTTTGTATAGTAGAGCAAATTGTTTTCTTATTGGTGTTACGCAAACAGAACCCAATGATCCATAGCTAATTAAGTTTGGATAAACAATAGTAACCGTTTCGGCTTGGTTGAGTTGATAAGTGAATGCGTCATGCCCATAAGTTTTAGCTTGTAATTTCGGAATTTACGATCGGAAATGATATGATGGGAGTGCGAGGCTATAAGTGTGTATTATCAGAGTGACATGGCGATTATGGTTGGACTATCACATTCTGGAAATTGTCAATGGGATGTGATAAGTTCATTCATCCAAACTTTTTTTATATCACTTATGGGGAAACACTTGGTAAACAAACGTGAGCAATTGCATAAGGTACTCTGGCGATGCCGGTTCGCTCTTTCTATATCTCTTCCCTGCTCTTGAAAACTCTATTCAATACCATTATACTCAGTTGGCAATAAGCTTTCACAGCTGACGGACGCGAAATTTTCCCTCCAACCGGCAAGTCGGTCGTATTTCTCGGGAATCTTACCAATAACCCATAAAATCGACTACCTCAACGAATTCTGAGTGATTGAATTACAACATGTACTTGCTGTGAAGATTTACAACTCTTATAAATCATAATATTGTACAATTACCGCTGATAATCACCAATTTCACGTTGTTGCTGCTTCGGTGCGTAGGTTCGAAAGCTCAGAGTGTTTTGTTTATGCAAAGCTTTTTTTGGACAAGCGCGTGGTAAGTAACATAAAATAAGAGAAAAACTCTCTTCTACAAAAAATTAAGAGTGTGATTCATTAATGACTGTAAAAAAAGGGTCAAAAAGGTCAAGGGAACCTTGAAAGCTTTTCAAAATCTGAGTCACGCTAAAAGGGTTTAGTTTCGTCAGTGGAAATATTGTTAGAATTCGTGATTCAAGCAGAGATTTTAGTTCAACTTTGTTAGTTAGTGTAAAATCAAAAACTTTAAGCTCTAGCATACATTTGTTATGTCAAGCCGACATGAAAGCTCTATGATTCTGTTAACTTACCTTAGTTAACATTTCCTAAATTTTTTAAACACTTAGAAAGCATAAAAATATCACTTAATTACAGCGGATTGAGTAAATACTATTCGATTAAGCGTAAAATATAATTGACAACGATAAACAAACATTTAAAATGGTACTATGACTCAGAGCATTGTGGATAATTTCTCGTAAAGCTAATTTATTTCCTAGCAATAGAAATGGTGACAGCATGTAATTGTGTTAGCGGCTGTCAGTTTATCTGTGGGTCAATTATTTATTTGTAGTTTGTAATTACTTGTAATGCTTGTTTTGGCAGTTTAAGTAATAATAATTATTCTAATGTGTAGTTGCTCTGATCATATAAATTCTTGTACATCATTTGAGTGAGATGAGTTTGATTTATTGTGTTCGAAAATGAAGCAAATGATCTTACAAATCAAAGAACATACCTTATACTTTCAACCTTTTTTAACATGTCAAAAATTAAAAAAATGTTTTACTATAATAGAAAAATAAAAAAAAATAAAAAAACACTTTTCAGTATTAAAGAAAAAAAAAATAAATAAATATAAAAAGAAGTTTAAAGAAAATCTCAATGTTCCCGCCCGGGTTCGAACCGGGGACCTTGTGCGTGTGAAGCACACGTGATAACCGCTACACTACGGAAACGCTTGGGAACCGATCGGTTTAAGGCCCCTTACAAGCAAAGGGGAGATAATAGAGTCAGCATTTCTATTTTTAGCCAAAGGCGATTAAATAATAGGAAAACTTGCATTTGAAATGACGAAAGGTCTTTTGTCATATATACTTTTGGCATTTACTTAATTTTTAAGATATTTTAAACAAAATTGTATAATAATTAAATTTCAAATTATGAAATTTGTAATTAAAAATTTGACAATATCTGCTAAATGCAAAAGGCTAAAATTTTATTTTTTCAGTATAAATTTTCATAACAATTATATAATAAACAAGATATAATCGCATTTCCAAAAATTTGACTAGGAGAGCATAAATTTCAACTTGGGGTCTAATGAAAATAGTATACTGTTTGTACATAAAAATAAAGGCGCAATAAATAAAGTTATAATTAGTGCTAAATAATTAATTAGAAAAAATAAAAAAAGGTAAAAAGTTATTTCGATGTTCCCGCCCGGGTTCGAACCGGGGACCTTGTGCGTGTGAAGCACACGTGATAACCGCTACACTACGGAAACAACTGAAGATCCTGCGGCGAAAAGGCCCATTCCAGTTAGCTGGTTTGCTATTTGATAAAGTGGGCAAATCCAATAATCTCCAGATCGTGAGTTTATGCCATCTATAGAACTATTGGCTGTTGCGTGGCAGTAACAATGAGAACCCATTTCTTCGCCTTGTCATTCCGCTCTTAATTAGCCTTTATTTGTCCCCTCTTCACGGAGCCTTACACAATTGGCCAGGATTTGCTGTAGAGAGAGGGTGAAGGGGGCGAAGCTAAAGGCATTCATGGTATGCCTGAAACACGCTGACCAGATTACCAACCAAAGCGCCAAGGGGCTAAGAACGGGTGCCCTTTTGTGGGTGGGGATGGGATGGGTGGGGGAATCTGATGGCCCACCTTTAAATAAATTCGAGCACGCTGATCCTTGATTAAAATTCCTATTGTCTGCTTTGGTCCTGCCAAGATTTCCTCCCCTTTCATTGCGCCGCTTTTGTGCGGCGCCGTGAACGTAATTAATATGCAGGCCAGAACGGACTCTAACTGCTCTCTGGCACTCGTTATAATTACGCATTTAAATTGGCACAAAGGTTGAGGCCAGACATGAACAGGGAGCTCACACTTGGAGAAATAAGGTAACCCGAAATTATATAATTCTGTAATTTTTTAGTAATATTATATTTATTTTATTATATTTATCAGAGAATAATCTGAAAATAAGGTAGTTAGTTTAATGTTTGTTTGGTTTTACAAAAATCGTTATTCCATTTAGTTTAAAGATAATTTATTATATTTAGTAGAGGTTTTTGGATTTCAGTAAACCATGTATAACATTGTTATGATACTGATTAAAACCAAAATTTAATGTGTTGAATCGTTATTTTATTGCCTTTTCAGAGTGCAAAATTGTAGGATTAGAAGGCAGTTTTCTTGCAGTGCCATCAAATCCAAACGCAAAGCCAAGAAGCGTCCACAAGGAAGCGCCTTCAACTCTTGTGTTGAATATATGTACATTTGCAAGTGTGTGGGTGGCTTATGAGTGTGGTGGGTGGGTGCACGGCCCCATAAATTTGGGTCAATGGGAAAAACGTCAGAATTGAGTAATTACAACATAATTTTCAATTTTGCAGTTTACGTTGTAAATTAATTTGCGGTCGACATTGGCGAAGCAGCCTCAGATCATTCCATCCCCATCCCCCTTTTCGCCTTAGCTTTGCCTGATTCGTGACGGCTTTTTGGGGTGGGGTCTTTGGGGTTCTGAGCTCGGGGCTTGAGTTTGGACTTGGGCGTGGGTTTGGGTTTGGGTTTGGGGGATTGCACAACAATTATAGCAACAATTACTGGACAGCCGGTCGGCGGACGTTGGGATTTTGCGATGTTGTGCTGCGCCATAGAACATGGTAAATGTATATTGTTGTTTTTGCCGCTCGGGTCGGTGTTCGCCGGTTGGGGGTCATCTCTTTGTTGTGCATAATTAATTTGCAGTTACTCTGCCTGCCTCGCGTGTTGATACCCAGTAGGTAGAAAGCCAATGAGTCCGGCATATTCAATTGTCACGCAGGTCCTTAGTTGGAATGGAATGCCATTTCCAGGAATTTAGAGTACCATTCAGTTTCAGAATAACTTTTCATTGATTTAGTCAACTTGATTTTGTAAATTCCAGAAACTAATTCTTAGAAAGTGCTTCCTTTGCTTTTGAATTTTGTTTAAAAATATTTAAAATTATTTTTGGATTACTCTGGTATTTTTTAATTTAAAGTCTAACCCCAAAGCTCTTGTCTGCTTCATCTAAATGAAAACCCGTTTAAAATGACACAGCTGGAAATAAAAGATACAGCAACTCCACTTTGTTTTCTTCTTATTTTGCAGCACTCGATATCAATGTATTTTTAAGAGTGACAAAATAGTTTTCTCATCACCATTATCAGCAGACCCAGGCGATTTTCGTTCTGTGTTCCCTAGCACAAAACTGTTTACGATTTTACAGCTGAATGGATTTTAATTGAAAGCACCAAAAGACACGCTAGTGTCAATGACATAGGGGAGAAGGGTTCGGGGAGGGGTTTTGGGATGTGGGTAGGGTTTTCCAAGGAAAGGCAGTTGCCGGCAGCTGTGACAAGATTTCGGATCATGTGGGTTTGCCCCGGCTTATGCAGGGAGCAGACCCAGTCCCCCGTTCCGAATTCCTATAGGATGGGAGTATACTCCCCAGATCCCCAGATGCAATAAAAAATTGACCCGAAAATGTGTAACAAATGTTGTGACATATTTTCGCAACGTTTGCTCAGCCAACGCCCCCAAACGATTGCGAACCCGCTGCCAATGATCCTGAAAAGCGCAAACGAAAAGACTCTCTGAAAGGATGCTCAGAATGGGTTTTTCCCAGTTTCCCAGCTTCCCAGTTTCGGGTGAAAATCGGTTTCGGGCAACATTTGTTTTGGCCCACATATAACACAAAATGTGCAAAAATGAATATGAAAAGTGGGGGTGGGATGGTTGGAACTGTAAATGTAACTGCAGCATGGCATGAACTTAATCTGCTGCCGATTGTTTTTCTTGCTTTTTCCAATGTGACGATGGGCGTAGGGCGATGGGTGGTTGGGCGGATTTGTTGCTCAATTTGTACTGGCGGCTTTGGGAGTGGGCTACTTTCGGGAGAAACGGAGACCCAAATACGGCGCGTTTTCAATATTGCGGCAACAATTTTCATGGATTTTACGCTTTCTTTGTTTTTGCTCTGTTTTTTGGCTTGTTTGTATTTGGCAACTCGGTAATAATGAAACCAACCAGGGGAGGTGGAAAGGCGGTAGGGGGAGTGGGTGTGTTCATTTAATTGAAAACAAGGCGTGGCAGCGGCAGCGGCGGCAGCACTTAAAGCGAAATTGAGAACAGATGGAATGGCAAGCGAAAAACTTACAATAATTGCCCACAACAGTTTGAAATTGAACGAAACGAAGCCACTCAAATGGACTGAAGTCCGGGCAGCTTTCAGCTTTCGGTTAACTGGGATGATTACCATCGATGGCAGATAAAGTTTCCGCGGCCACTTAATGGGTTATTTATGGAGTTGAGTTTCCCTCCCGCAGTCGGCAGTCTGAGTGCTGAAACTAATTAAATTATACAATCAAAATGTTCTTCATATTTTGTATAAAATTTCCACTTTCCACGGGGAAAAGGGAGTACCTAAAGAAAAAAGTTTTCCACTTTTGGCGGGGCTCAGAATTTTTCCCTCTTTCTAATTAGTTGCCCTTTATAAAGGGATTTTCTTATTGTAAAAAAATGCTCAACGGCACTTTTATGGTTTGTTATTAGACGCCCTATTTTGTCTTCAATTTTTCGGAATACATTTATTATTTCTTAAATAAAGTAGTCAATATTTCTTGCTTTAATAAGGCAATATAACGTGATACTTTTATTTTGATTGCCATTCGTAAACCGATTCGCACAACAATGAAAGAGGAAAATATCTCAAATTTTCAAAGACAAATATGCAGCACAAATCGCATTTCCATAAATATAAATGTATCCTAG